AGGAAGCCCCTGCCCCGGGCTTCCTGGAATCAGCCGCTGATCAGTTTCAGCAGCAGCTGACTTGTGGATGCCTGGGGTTCTTAAGTTGAATCTGTATGTAAGTCAGAACTGGCATCCAGATTAAAGCTGCTGTTGAAACTGATCAGTTTTAGCAGCGGCTGAATCTGGACGCCAGTTCCGACTTACATACAGATTCAACTTAAGAGCAAACCTACAGTCCCTATTTTGTACGTAACCCGGGGACTGCCTGTATTTAGATTTTTATGATTTAAATGTTCAGTTGTGGGAAATTTCTGTACAGATCCGACAATAACTATTTAATGACAGCAGATGTTGAGAATCAAGAAGTTAGTTTTATAATTGTTAAAACACAAGGTGACAACCTCACAAAGTAAATAGGTAAGGAAAACATTGGTTGATAGCCTTAAAGAGTAAGCTATCTACACGTTTTGATTAACAATGCACATATTTTTCTTTGGTTTGTGAGAGCACAGTGAAATCAACATTTACTGATAGTAATCAAATCTGTCCAAGTCTAATTTATATGTAATGATAGTAATAAAGATTCTAGTCTGGGAATTGACTATACTTACTGTGTATGCCCTCTGGTGGACATGGATATCAAATGCATCCATTTATTTAGGTGAAATATCAAAGTTGACTGGCTCAAACAAGAAAGCATAGTGGATTAGATTTAATTTTTTTTGCAGGGGTGGGGGCAGACTTGAGCAGTGGTTGAGAAGCAGTTGAAAATAGTGTACATTTTAAATGTAATAAAGTATGTACAATGTAAATAAATAATCAATGGCTAATGGGGGTGCAACTCAGTTTAGTTTGTGTTCCTAAGTAAACAAAACACAATGAAGTTAACAAGAGACCTATCCTGGTATCATTCTGATCAGTCTGCTTGTGTTGCACTCTTGTTGCTCTATAAGGGTGCGTCTACAATGCACCGTTATTTCGAAATAACAATGCGAGTGTCTACACAGTCATTCTGTTATTTCGAAATAATTTAGAAATAACGGATGGCTTATTCTGAAATCTGTAAGCCTCGTTGTATGAAGAATAAGGCCTATTCCAAAATAGCTATTTCGAAATAAGGCGTGTGTAGACGCTCCACTTCTATTTCAAAATGGCCCCTCACCAGGGCCATTCTAAATTATTCCTCCCCAGTGCCTCCAAGAGCTCTAAAGCGACATAGCACAGCTACATTAGGGAAGCCTACCTTAGACTAATTTTGAGGCTTCCCTGCAGTGTAGAAGTGCTATTTTGAAATAAGCTATTTCGGAATAACTATTCGGGAATAGCTTATTTTGAAGTAAGTGTGCAGTGTACCTGTATCCTAAGATTCCTGTGTTTAGCCCCACAGTAGGGTCCTGATTTTGATCAGTCAATTTGGGTAGAATCACAGTATAAATATAATCCTAGATTTCTAGGCCAGATTGGGACCATTTTGGTTATGTAGTTGAATCTCCTGCTTAACACAAGCCAGAGAACTTCTCTCAGCAAGTCCTGCATTGAGCCCAGTAATTTGTGGTTGAATTAGACCATGCTTTTCAGAAGAATCCTCCACAAATTGTTGCATTTTTCTAATAGTTAATTACTCTTAAAGTTAAAAATAAGCACCGTGCTTCTACTCTGAGTTTATCTAGTACAGTGGTCCCCAACCTTTCGTGGCTGCCAGGCGTCCGGGGGCGGGGTCCGCCCACGCGCCGGGCGTCTGGGGGCGGGGGCCGCCCACGTGCCCTGGGCCTAAGGCTGGCTCCCCATGTGCTGCGCGCCGGGGGCGGGGCCAGCCCAGATGTTTCAGCGGGCGCACATAAATGCCCCAGCGGGCGCCATGGCGCCCGCGGGCACTGCATTGGGGACTGCTGATCTAGTGTCACTTTCTAACCATTACATTTTGTAATGCTTTTTATAGCTTCAGAAATACGCATGCTCTGTATGAACTATTGGATTTTAAAAGGCTGATTTTCCTTTTCAGGTCACTAATGAAGGAGGAGCGAAGAGTGCTTCTTTAAAGGATTTATGTCCCGAGGACAAGAGGCGCATTGCAAACTTAATTAAAGAACTTGCCAGGTGAGAATAAACTTCACTTGAAAATGCATTATGTTTAGGGAGAGGCATTCTTTGTGTCAATGCCAAACATCTTAGAGCTACATTATGAAATTGCATCTTTATTAAATAGATATAAGCATAAAGTGATTGCTGCAGCTGGGAGAGACACAGGCAAGCAGGAGACCAGTAATGTTCCTTTACTTTCCTGACACCCATCCCCCCAAAAAACAAAAACTGAAAAACATGTTACTGAGATATAAGGTCTTCATCCTGCGAGTTGCAGGTGTCAGTTCACTCAGAGCTAGTTACAGGATCATGGCATTAGTTCCAAAAAAGGTGTCTTTTGTTTAAAAGAAAATATTGATTCCTAAGTCACAGTCTTTGCTGGTATGAAACTTTGCAGTGCTCATTTGCTAGAGGATCACATTTTAAAACAGAATTACCATTAGAAGTAGGATTTTAGTCTTGTGATCAAATTAAGAGTAAACATGTTCATCTGTGGTAATACTTTTTTGCACATTCAACCCAACAAGCATTTTCATTTCTTTTGTCTCATCGGAAGCCTTTCCTGAAAGGCTTTGCTCTCATTCTGTTCTCTGGAAGGAACGCAGTATGTTTTTAATCTTTGGAAGGGAGTTATTCCTAGTTTTTTCTTACTAGCAGTCCAGTCATTGATGCGTCAAAAATGGTCTCTGAGTAATGGGTTTAAGTTTGAGTGACCGTTATTGGCTATCCCACATTTTTCTGAGCTCCCTGTTTTCAAAATTTCTTGGCGGAATAGTCCCTTAGCTGCACCAGGGCGCTGTTTCTGCCGTGCTTCCTCAGTGGTCCTAGAGAAGGAAGCAGTGGTAGGAAGAAACTGAGCCCAGCCAAGGGTTTTGCAAGGTTCCTTCTATAAACCACCTTTGTACTTTTTTTTCATTATGATCTAGTGGAGGGAAGTGTGGAAAGAGGAAGTGAGAGAAAACAAAAATAGGAGAAGAGAGCACCAGAAAAAGGGGAGCAGGGAGAGGAAGAGAGTAGTTTCAGGATGGAGGCTATACATAATTGTTCAGTTTGCTGTCTGAATTTGATTAGTAGCAAAAAGAAATGGCGATCTGTTTCCCCCTTTACATGTTTTAATCTCACTTCCTCCCACTCCCCGTGATTGAGAAAATTGGGGTCTTTTCGCCACCCAAAGTTGAAAATTGAACGGAAAGAACTGAATGAGACATTCTGTTTTAGTTTCCATTTAAAAAAGGAAAGCATATTTTGCAGAGTTCTGTTACCCTGAAATGTAGAATCATAGAATCCTAGAGCTGGAAGAGACCTCAGGAATCATCAAGTCCAGCCCCTGCCCAAGGCAGGACCAATCCCAACTAAATCAACCCAGACAGAGCCCTGTCAAGCCGAGATTTAAAAACCTCCAGGGATGGAGATTCCACCCCCTCCCTAGGGAGCCCATCCCAGTGCTTCACCTCCCTCCTAGGGAAATAGTTTTTCCTAATATCCAACCTAGACCTCCCCCACTGTAACTTGAGAGCATTGCTCCTTGTTCTGCCATCCGTCACTTCGAATCCTTCAGTCATAGGTCATACGCTCCATCCCCCTAATCATTTTGGTTGCCCTCCACTGGATCCTCTCCAATGCATCCACATCCTTTCTATAGTGGGGGGCCCAGAACTGGACACACTACTCCAGATGTGGCCTCACCAGAGCCAAATAAAGGGGAATAATCACTTCTCTGGATCTGCTGGCCATGCTCTTCCTAATGCCACCTAATCTATCTAGGTCACTATGGACCCTAACCCTGCCCTCCAGCGTATCTACCTCTCCCCCTAGCTTAGTGTCATCTGCAATCTTGCCTAGGGTGCAGTCCATCCCCTCATCTAGGTCATTAATAAAAATGTTGAACAAAATTAGCCCTAGAATCGATCCTTGGGGCACTCTGCTAGAAACCGACCTCCAACCTGACATCGAGCCGTTGATCGCTACCTGTTGGGCCCGACAGTATAGCCAGCTTTCTATCCATCGTACAGTCCATTTATCCAATCCACATTCCCTTAACTTGCTGGCAAGAATATAGTGGGAGACTGTATCAAAAGCTTTGCTAAAGTCAAGGTATATCACATCCACTGACTTTCCCATATCCATGGAGCCAGTTATGTCATCATAGAAGCTAATCAGATTGGTCAGGCACGACTTGCCCTTCGTGAATCTATGTTGACTATTCCTGATCACTTTCCCCTCTTCCAAGTGCCTCAAAATGGATTCCCCCTCAATGATTTTTCCAGGAACTAAGGTAAGGCTGAACTGTAGTTCATTGGATTGTCTGTCTTCCCTTTTTTAAAGATGGGCACTACATTTGCCTTTTTCCAATCATCCGGGATCTCTCCCGATCTCCACAAGTTTTCAAAGATAATGGCCAAAGGCTCCACAGTGACATTTGCCAACTCCCTTAGTACCCTCAGATGCATTAAATCCGGACCCATGGATTTATTTGTCTTGCTTTTCTAAATAGTTCCTAACTTGTTCTTTCACCACCAAGGGCTGTCCACCTCCTTCCCCTACTGCGTTGTCTAGGTCGTTTGTCTGGGACCTGACCTCGTCTGTGAAGGCAGAGGCAAAGAACGCACTGAGTACTTCAGCTTTTCCCACATCATCTGTCACTAAGTTACTTCCCTCATCCAGTAAGGGCCCCGCACCCTCTCTGTTCATCCTCTTATTGCTAACATGACTGTAGAAACCTTTCTTGTTACCCTTCATATCCCTTGCTAGCTGCAATTCCAATTGCGCTTTTGCCTTCCTGATTACTCCCCTGCATTCTCGAGCAAAATATTTATACTCCTCCGTAGTCATCTGTCCAATTTTCCACTTCTTGTGAGCTTCCTTTTTGTGTTTAAGCTCACCAAGGATGTCCCTGGTAAGCCAATCTGGTCACCTACCATATTTGCTTTTCTTGCTGCGCATCGGGATGGTTTCTTCCTGGGCCTTCAATAAGGCTTCTTTAAAATATTGCTAGCTCTCCTGGACTCCTTTCCCCTTCATGTAAGCATCCCAGTAAATCTTGCCCATCAGTTCTCTGAGGGAGTCAGTGTGCTTTTCTGAAGTCCAGGGTGTGTATTTTGCTACTCTCCTTTCTTCCTTTGGTCAGGATCCTGAAATCTACCATCTCATGATCACTGCTTCCCAGGCTGTCACCCACCTCTACTTCCCCTACTAGTTCCTCCCTGTTTGTGAGCAGCAGGTCAAGCTGTGCATGGCCCCTGGTCGGTTCCTTCAGCACTTGTACCAAGAAGTTATCCCCAACATTCTCCAAAAACTTCCTGGATTGTCTGTGTATTGCTGTATTGGTCTCCCAACAGATGTCAGGGTGATTAAAGTCCCCCATGAGAATCAGGGTCTGTGATCTGGAAGCTTCTCTCAGTTGTCTGAAGAAAGCCTCATCTACCTCATCCACCTGATCTGGTGGTTTATAGCAGACACTAACCACAACATCACCCCTGTTGCTTCCACTTCTAAACTTGACCCATAGTTCTTTGACTGGGCCAGGGCTTCTAATTCTTCCTGTTTGTTTCCCAGGCTTCTCGAATTTGTGTACAAACATCTTAGATACCCAGTTGATCGCCCTACCTTCTCCATTTGAGTCGGGGTCCTCCTTTGTTGCTTGTTCCTCCTTGTGTTTCTTCCCAGTAGCTGACTTCCTCACTTACCTCAGGGCTTTAGACACCATACCCCAACCAACCTAGTTTAAAGCCCTCCTTACTAGGTTTGCAAGCCTGCTCGCAAAAATGCTCTTTCCTCTCTTGGTTAGGTGGATCCCATCTTTTCCTAGCAATCCTTGTGCCCAGAACTGAGTCCCACGGTTGAAGAAACCAAAGCCCTCTCTTTGATGCTACCTGTGCAACCATGTATTTACTTCCTCAATTCCGTGATCCCTATCTGGACCTTTTCCTTCAACCAAAAGGATGGACGAAAACACCACTTACGCTTCAAATTCCTTGATCCTTCTTCCCAGCGCTACATAATCTGCAGTGACCCGCTCAAGGTCATGCTTGGCCGTATTGTTAGTTCCTACATGGAGAAGCAGGAAGGGGTAGCGATCCGACGGTTTGATCAGTTTTGGAAGACTCTCGGTTACATCCTGAATGCGAGGATGTACCTTGTTTCTTTAATGTATTAAAGGCAGTTGGTGTTGATCACCAGCATTGCATACTTGTTCCCTCTTTAAATTTTCATTGAATTACCTGCTTGTTTGCTTTTGATGGTAAATCAGGTTTTTTTTGTGGCGGAAGCTCTCTGGGGAGGGGAAATGTGTAGAACCCTGCGTGAATACAAATTGTTGTATCCGCATCTGTATGTACAAAAATGAGCTGCAGATACCTGGAGATTCCCACAGATATCGGAGGATTTGCAAGGCTCTGTGCGTGTGTTTATTCTGCCCCTAGCACCACTGTGCCCAGACCCTACCAAAAAGTGGTTTGAGGCAACCGCCCTAGACACCACACTTTAGGAGGATGCAGAAGCCCAGGGCCATGGGTGGCACAGGGATTAGTGAGGGGTCTGGCATGGCACTCGCCAGCGGTGTTGGGAAGTGGAGTGACCTCACCTCAGCCTGCTCTGCTCTACCAGCTTTGTGTCAATTGAGGGAGGGGGCCCACGGAGGAGGCTGGAGTGGGCCAAGTGGAGGTGGGAAGAGGTGGGCTTGGGGGGGTGGCCTTTGTGAGGGACTGGGGGATGTCCTCTAGGGATGGCCCTGATGACACCTTAATCCTGATTGAGCCTCAAACTTCTACCAACACAAATATTAACTAATAATATCGAGCACATGATAGTCACTTTACTGGATGCTTAGCATCCATGTGTGCTCAGTGGAGAAGTCTGTTGTTGCTAGTGAATCCCAGATACTTGATTTTTCCCTAGAAAGCTTATTTTTCTCTCAGATGGTAATACCAATAGTTATGTAGAAAAAAACCAAAACCTTATCATGAAGAAAGTCAGGTTCTAAATAAACAATTTAACAAGTCCACACATTTTATCCC